TTTTGGTGCATCTAAAGTTAGGCCTAATATTTTTTGTGGCTTTGTACATATTTTATTTCTATATTGTCCATTTTAATTGTTGGTAAATGATTTATTTTCTTTTTGTAAAGCAGAGGAGTTTACTTTTTAGGAAATTTATTTTTAAGTCCCAAGTATTTGCCCATTCTTTTAATTTTTGTAGTTCTGTTTCTAGTTTGTTTGCTGCTTCAATTAAATTTTTTTTACTTATTATTAATGTAATATCATCGGCGTATATTATTTTTTCGATGCCTGTTAGTTTCAAATCGTTTATCATTATGTTGAATAGTACTGGGCTTATTGGAGACCCTTGAGGTACCCCACATTTAGTTGTTCCTTTCTTTGAAGTTCTATTTCCAATCTTTATTTGGAATGTTCTATTTTCTAAAAGATCATTTATCCATTTTAATGGGTTACCTGTTATTCCTAGTTTTGCCATTTTTATTATTAGTGCTTCGTGGTTGACTGTGTCAAAAGCCTTTTCCAAATCTATACAGGCTATTATGGTATATTGTTTTTCCACGAATGCTTTGTTTATATGATTATCTAGTATTTGTAATGCATCTATTGTATTTCTGTTTGGCCTGAATCCATTTAAATCTTTGTCTAGTTTGTTATAATGTTCCAGAAACCAAGTTATTCTTTTTGTTATTAGACTTTCAAATAACTTTCCGATACAAGATATTCTACATATGAATCTGTAGGATTTTGCATCATTTGGGTTTTTTCCTGGTTTAACTATTGGATTTACTATCACGTTTTTTTGTGATGCTGGGTATTCACCCCTGGACCAGTGTGTATTCATTATTCTTAGAATTGCCTTCAGCAAATTATCTGGTGCATTTTTATATAGTTCGTATGGTATCTCGTCTGGGCCATATGCTTTGTTATTCTTAGCATTTTTTAGTATTGTTTTTAATTCTATCATGGTTAGTTCGTTGCTTAGTTCATTTGTATTTTGTATATTGAATAAGTTGTATTTTTGTGAATTTGATAATAATTTTTTGGGTATTTTGTTTACTGTTTCCATATATTCTTCTTTGAATTTTTCTAGTTTTTGGTTGATATTTGTTAGTGGCAAATCATTATCTATTATTGGATATTCCGTTGTAATTGTTTTTCCTGTCAATTTTTTGAAAAAGTTCCAAATCTTTTTTGGTGGGTTTTTGAAGTTTAATGTTTCACAAAAATCGTTCCATGATTTCTTTTTTTGTTGAGTTATTGTTTGCTTTGCTTTTGCTGATAGCTTTTTGTATTCTATTTGGTTTGCTATAGTTGGTTTTTTCCTCCATCTGTTAAAAGCTTTATTCCTTTCTTTTATAGTTTCATGACAATCTTTGTTCCACCATGGTTTATTTGGTTTATCTATTTTTGTCTTGTTTCTAATTTTAAATATTTTAGAGCTGTATTTTTTATCTGCTCTGTTATTTCTTCTATGGTTGATATTTCTTCTAAATTTGTTTCATTTAATTCTTTCTGGTAGTCTTTCCATCTTTCTTTTGTGTAGTACCATTTTTTTTCTTTGAGTAAATGGTTTTCAATGTATGTGTTGTCCATTATTATTATTGGCAGATGGTCACTTATTTGGTGGGATGCAGATTTTATTTGTAAATGACTTAGGGCGGGTGAGCCAAATACGAGATCTAATGTGGATTCTTTTGCAGTTTTTGGATCAATTCTGGTTATGAGGTTTCTTGGAGTTAGTAGTAATACATTATTTTGACTTAGCCATTTTGTTATATTTGTTCCTGTTGTATTTGTTTGTCTTTGGTTTGTATTTTCATTCCAGAGAGGGTGATGCGCGTTGAAGTCTCCTATTATTAATTTTGGATGTCTTATCTGATCTGAATAATATTCTAGTTCTTCTGCTTCTATTACATTACATGGATTATATATTAATAGTATGTTTAGCCAGTTTCTTTTATAACTTGTTTTAATTCCTAGTACTTCTATTTTATCTTTGTATCTGTCATTTAAGTTTATTTTTTGCTGAATATCATTTTTAATGCATACAGCAAGACCTCCTCCTATTTGATTGTTTCTGTCTTTTCTTATGACTGTATAGTTGTTGATGTTGAGGGTATCTTTTTCTTTTAGCCATGTTTCATTAATTGCTAATATTCCTGGGTTTTCTTTATATGTTAGATAATTTAGTTCTGTTTTTTTATTTAGTATTGATCTTGCATTCCAAAGAATTAGTTTGTACATTTCAATATGCTATAATGTCTTTTAGCACTAAGCTAATTTCGTTTATGATGTCTATTATATTTTGCATTAAGGGTTTCTCGGAGTTGAAGTTGTTTATTAGATTTGTTATTATTTTGAAAATACTTTTGGTTACTTTTATCCATGAAAAGTTATCATTTTCATCTTCTTTATTGTTTTTTTTGTTTTCTTTGTACTGTATTGGGGTAGGTAATGACCATGTGGTTGGGGATTCAGTAACTTCTCTTTGTTCTGAGTTTGTTATAGTTTTGTTTTC